CCATGTATCAGAAATCTTTCCTAAGAGGATAAGCTGAGGGCATTGAATCAACACTCTCTGGTAAGAGGTAGAACTTAGGGATGATATGAATGAGATGTATAAATGGAAGATAGCAATAAATAAGGGCATATAAATTACGTACTAGAAATATTTAACCAAGACGGGACTCGCAGCAATAGAGAGGGTATGGAAAGCACTGGTTTGGTAATGTTGTTGTGGAAGAGTTGAAGATCTCCAGAGTAGCATCAATGAAGCGAGAACCTTGTGTAGCTTTACAAATGGATTATATAAGTTCATAAATAGGTGTGAATTGCACCTGCCTAGCATGGGCTCCTTATATTCATGATAATTTCTGTGCTCATCCTGACCTATTACAAGATTTAAACTCAAATGTTGAGGTTGTTTTGGGACCACCAGATACCACATCACTGATACAGCCACTGGTTCCAGGAGTAATAAAGTCATTTAAGTGTATCTGCACACGCAGAATAATGCAGAAACTTCTTGTAGTACTGGACGATGACTCAGAGCCTCGAGTGTCAGAGTTCTGGCATACATTCAGTATCGTACATTCCTAAACAAACGACAAAGGCGCATGAGATTATCCACCAAAATCAGCCAGTGAACCCCATCCATCCACTTCAGCCAGTGAACCCCATCCATCCACTTCAGCCAGTGAACCCCATCCATCCACTTCAGCCAGTGAACCCCAGCCATCCACTTACCAGTGACCAGCCAATCGACTCAGCAGTGATACCCCACCATCCACTTCAGCCAGTGAACCCCAGCCATCCACTTCAGTCAGTGAACCCCAGCCATCCACTTCAGCCAGTGAACCCCAGTCATCCACTTCAGCCAGTGAACCCCAGCCAACCACTTCAGCCAGTGAACCCTAGCCAACCACTTTAGCCAGTGAACCCCAGCCATGTACTTGAGCCATGAACCCCAGCCATGTACTTGAGCCAGCGAACCCCAGCCATCCACTTCAGCCAGTGAACCCAGTCCAACCACTTCAGCCAGTGAACCCCAGCCATCACTTGAGCCAGTGAACCCCACCATCCACTACAGCCAGTGAACCCCAGCCATTCACTTCAGCCAGTGAACCCCAGCCATCCACTTCAGTCAGTGAACCCCAGCCATCCACTTCAGCCAGTGAACCCCAGTCATCCACTTCAGCCAGTGAACCCCAGCCACCACCACTTCAGCATGAACCCAGCCAACCACTTCAGCCAGTGAACCCCAGCCATTAACTTAGCCATGAACCCACCATACTTAGCCAGTGAACCCCAGCCATCCACTTCAGCCAGTGAACTCTAGCCAACCACTTCAGCCAGTGAACCCCAGCCATCCACTTGAGCCAGTGAACCCCAGCCATGTACTTGAGCCAGTGAACCCCAGCCATGTACTTCAGCCAGTGAACCCCAGTCATCACTTCAGCAGTGAACCCAGCCATCATATAACCAGACAAGAACATCTTACCAGTGAACCCAGCTCACACCTACTTCAGCCATTGAACCCCAGCCATCCATACAGCCAGTGAACCCAGCCATCCAGCCAGTGAACCCACCAACCACTTAGCCAGTGAACCCAGCCATCCACTTCAGCCAGTGAACCCCAGCCATCCACTTAGCCAGTAACCCCAGTCACACTTATCAGTGAACCCCAGCCATGCACTTCAGCCAGTGAACCCCAGCCATGTACTTCAGCCAGTAACCCCAGCATCCATTCAGCCATTGAACCCCAGCCATCCACTTACAGCCAGTGAACCCCAGCCATGTACTTCAGCCAGTGAACCCAGCATCCATTTCAGCCAGTGAACCCCCATCCACTTAGCAGTGAACCCAGCCATCCACTTCAGCCAGTGAACCCCAGCCATGTACTTCAGCTAGTGAACCCCAGCCATGTACTTCAGCAGTGAAACCCCAGCCATCTTTCAGCCAGTGAACCCCAGCCATCACTTCAGCCAGTGAACCCCAGCCTGTACTTCAGCAGTAACCCAGCCATACTTCAGCAGTGAACCCAGCCATTCCACTTCAGCAGTGAACCCCAGCCATGTACTTCAGTCAGTGAACCCAGCCATGTACTTCAGCCATGAACCCCAGCCATGTACTTCAGTCAGTGAAACAGCATCACTCAGCCAGTACCCACTTCCAGGCCAGTGAAACCCAGCCATTCACTTCAGTCAGTGAAACCCAGCCATGTACTTCAGTCAGTGAAACCCAGCCATTCACTTCAGCCAATGAACCCCAGCCATGTACTTCAGTCAGTGAAACCCAGCCATGTACTTCAGCCAGTGAAACCCAGCCATTCACTTCAGTCAGTGAAACCCAGCCATGTACTTCAGCCAGTGAACTCCAGCCATGTACTTCAGTCAGTGAAACCCAGCCATTCACTTCAGCCAGTGAACCCCAGCCATGTACTTCAGTCAGTGAAACCCAGCCATGTACTTCAGCCAGTGAAACCCAGCCATTCACTTCAGTCAGTGAAACCCAGCCATGTACTTCAGACAGTGAAACCCAGCCATTCACTTCAGTCAGTGAAACCCAGCCATGTACTTCAGTCCAGTGAACCCAGCCATGTACTTCAGCCAGTGAACTCAGCCATTCACTTCAGTCAGTGAAACCCAGCCATGTACTTCAGCCAGTGAACCCAGCCATGTACTTCAGTCAGTGAAACCCAGCCTTTGTACTTCAGCCAGTGAACCCCAGCCATGTACTTCAGTCAGTGAAGCCCAGCCATTCACTTCAGCCAGTGAACCCCAGCCATGTACTTCAGCCAGTGAACCCCAGCCATGTACTTCAGCCAGTGAACCCCAGCCATTCACTTCAGCCAGTGAACCCCAGCCATGTACTTCAGCCAGTGAACCCAGCATTCACTTCAGCCAGTGAACCCAGCCATGTACTTCAGCCAGTGAACCCCAGCATTCACTTCACAGTAACCCAGCCATTCACTTCAGCCAGTGAAACCCAGCCATTCACTTCAGCAGTGAACCCCAACCATGTACTTCAGCCAGTGAACTCCAGCCATGTACTTCATGTCCCATTGTGAAACCCAGCCATTACTTCAGCCAGTGAACCCAGCCAGTACTCTCATGACCAGTTCACTCCTGAACCCAGCCATGTACTTCAGCAGTGAAACCCAGCCATGTACTTCAGCCAGTGAAACCCAGCCATTCACTTCAGTCAGTGAAACCCAGCCATGTACTTCAGCCAGTGAAACCCAGCCATTCACTTCAGTCAGTGAAACTCAGCCATGTACTTCAGCCAGTGAACCCCAGCCATGTACTTCAGTCAGTGAAGCCCAGCCATTCACTTCAGCCAGTGAACCCCAGCCATGTACTTCAGCCAGTGAAACCCAGCCATGTACTTCAGTCAGTGAAACCCAGCCATTCACTTCAGCCAGTGAACCCCAGCCATGTACTTCAGCCAGTGAATCCCAGGCATTCACTTCAGCCAGTGAACCCCAGCCATGTACTTCAGCCAGTGAACCCCAGGCATTCACTTCAGCCAGCGAACCCCAGCCATTCACTTCAGCCAGTGAAACCCAGCCATTCACTTCAGTCAGTGAAACCCAGCCATGTACTTCAGCCAGTGAAACCCAGCCATTCACTTCAGTCAGTGAAACCCAGCCATGTACTTCAGCTAGTGAACCCCAGCCATGTACTTCAGTCAGTGAAGCCCAGCCATTCACTTCAGCCAGTGAACCCCAGCCATGTACTTCAGCCAGTGAACCCCAGCCATGTACTTCAGCCAGTGAACCCCAGCCATGTACTTCAGCCAGTGAACCCCAGCCATGTACTTCAGCCAGTGAACCCCAGCCATGTACTTCAGCCAGTGAACCCCAGCCATGTACTTCAGCCCACGAACCCATGCCATCAACTTCATCCAGGTGACATCACGATATGCAGAACATCCACCGTGAAAAATAGTGAAATTCCAAGCGCTTTCGTGATTTCTCACATTATCAAGGAAGTGTAAAAATGAAAGATCAGTAGAAAGACATATAAGCAGGAGATTACAAGCTCGCTGTCAACTTACAATACCTGATGTACGTACGTGGTCAAGGACATGTCAAACACAACTTATATTCTACCCAAGCTTTAAGATTTTTACTTGTTGAATGTATCTTAAATTCTTCCCAAATTTTATTAATTATAAATGAATTCACTTTATATAATCTTAAAGAAATATTCGCATTAATTTCAAAACTATTTTTTATGAAATTTAATTTAAGATAAAGATCTTTATTTTGACAAATTACATGGTTGTACCAAGGAATATAATGGTTGGATGTACATGTCAAAAGCCCCTTTGCATGCCGAGCATTTCTGTTATATTTCTCTCAACCATGGATCTGCTTCATGTAACTTTCTCAGTCTTTTGAAAATCAATTGGATGGTTAAAATCTCTCACGTGAATAAACAGAGCATTAGAACCTTGTCCACTTCTAATGCTATATTTATGTTGGTGTAATTTTTTCCCAGTTTGATCGTAATAAACTTTATCACTTTTTTTACAGCTGTCAGGATATATATATATATATATATATATATATATATATATATATATATATATATATATATATATATATATATATATATATATATATATATATATATATATATACACACACATCACTTTGAACTGAAAATAAACGTATCAGTGTTGGACTGGTTTACACAGTGTCTTTTATGTATCATTCTCTTAACTTTCAACTTAATGAGTGACTCAATGTATGCGTTAGTAATATCTTGTGTGTCACTCCTGTGCTTGATCAATTTCAGAGTCACTGAGGTGTAGGTGGCAGAGCTGCAACTGTGAGGTGGAGGCTCTGTACTAGGCGACAGCAGGTTCTTGTACTTTTATTATTATTATTATTATTATTATTATTATTATTATTATTATTATTATAGAATGAGTTAAGTAGTAGGCTCTAATAATTTCATTGTTATTGCGTAAAGAATTAAGCATTAGGTTATAATACTTTCATTACTATTGCAGAAAGAATTAAGCAGTCCGCTAACTTAGTGTTGGCAGCCATGATGCTCTTCGCCACCTACAACCACTGGATGGTCGGGGACAAGTTTGAGAGACTAGCGCCCTCCCTGGTCAGTATTACTATCAGCAGTAGTAGTAGTAGCATTACTGGTAGTAATAACAGTAGTAGTAATAGCAGTTGTAGTGGTAGTAGTAATAATAGCAGTAGTAGTAGCATTAGTGGTAGTAGTAACAGTAGTGGTAACATTAATAGTACTAGCACTAGTAGTAGTAGTATCATTAGTAATAGTAGAAGTCCCAGCAGGTTATGTATTGGTTGTACGGGGAGACAAAGATTGGTTCAATGACGGTCTATGGGACATAAGATGTCCTGACCATCAACAAGCAGTGGACACCCACCTCCCCACAAGGAAGGTTCCTTGATGCTGGTGAGGAGCTCTTAATCTAGGGAATTGGATCTGTGCTCCAGTTCCCTGAATTAAGCCTGAATACCTTCCATCCCTCTCCCCCACAGGCGCTGTTTAAAGAAGGCTCAGGTACGACCACTTGAATTTAAAAATAATAGAGAGGAGCAGAAGGAAGACCCTGACGTGTGAGGAACATCTAGTTACCTGCGATGGCGTAACCATCCTAGGGTCTACGATAACGAACTGCTCGTTTACACTCTTCCGATCACCAAGATACAATATGTCGGTGTTGGAGTTCACTGTAGACTAAAAGAATGATTACCTACTGCTACTAAGTTGGCTGAATATCTGAAACCGGCTAGTGTATATACTCAGACTAGGAAAGGCCAAATGGAAACAGGTATTTCTCAAATTTATCTCACCCTTCCTTGGTAAAGGAGCATCGGGGACGCATTGCGGCTGGTGTGGGACCTGAGGAGAGTTATAATAATAATAATAATAATAATAATAATAATAATAATAATAATAATAATATTAATAATAATCTTTACTTTTACAAGTACATGTACAATGTATACGGGTCTAACTGACATCAGTGACACTACTATGCAGAAAGCCCCTGGTCATGCAGAGCGTTTCGAGCAAATTAGGTCAATTTTGTCTCCAGGATGCAACCCGCACCAGTCGACTAACAAGCAGGTACCTATTTTACTGATAGGTGAACAGGGACAGCACGTGTGTTAAGGAAAGACGTCCTAATATTTCCACCCGTAACCGGGATCGAACCACAGACCTCAGTGTGTGAACTGAGAGCGCTAGCAGTCGAGCTACGAGACACCAGTTTAAGGAGAGAACCAGAAATTGGTCACTACCCATATATTACCCAGTCATTACAGAAGCTGATGTGAAACAACCAGACCCTAAACATAATTTAATGTAGCTGGGCTTCCTGTGCTTGGGGTCTACTCGTGTGCACAGACCTGGAGGGAATAGTAGAAAGAGGTGTGGGAGAGAAAGAAGATATTGGAAAAGTGATCTCCCGAAATACTTTGTGAGCTCGTTGGAGGGAAGGCTCCTGCTGTTGATGATGTACATTAAGATCACTCATAACAAGAGATGATTGGTTCAGTTGAAATAAGTAATGATGAAATTCCTCTTTTTGTATGTCAAGGCACCAGATGCGCCTTATTTCTGTTTGCACTGCCTGAGACGAAGACGCATGTAAGGAAAGTCAGATCACACAAGGATACCGAGGCCCCTATCCCCCTGTATCCGTCCGGTCTGCCCTATAAACTATATATTTCCACACAGCTAGAGGGATAAAAAGGGCGAAGCTATGTCGCACACTCCTTCTACTATTAGATCTACGTCCAAGAGTAGCATCTGAAATCTGGACATTTTGATATGAGGGAATGAGCATTCCGAAACATAAAATGCGCTTTGGGGAGTCAAAATGAAAATGAAAAACATTGTATACGGTGATGAAGGAGAGCAGTACATGCAACGGGAGGGAAAGTCCCCAAGAAGTAAATAAGCAATCCCTCTTCCAGGAGGGTCAAAAATCTGAGGAATAATTGTAGTCCATACTGGCCATGAATTTTTGGTAGTAGGAGATGCATAAGTTTGGACTGAAGAAGGAGGAGAAGGTGTAGTCCTGACACTGAGAGGAAAGGCATGCATCCTGGCAGGGAAATGGTATCTTACCCCTTTCAGGGTCGACAGGCCCTCTCCCAGACTTGTTCTCAGGGTCGCCAAATTTAAAAAAAAAATATTTTTTCTTATGAAAAGATAGAGAATCTTTTCTCAATCATAATGACACCAAAAGTATGAAATTTGATGGAAAACTTACGGAATTATGCTCTCTCGAAGTTAGCGGTCTCGACGATGTTTACGCATCGGCGATTTTGCTCACTTTGAGCCCTATTTTCGGCCAATTCCACTGTACTAGTCGGAAAAATCATAACTATTTCGCTAGAACTCCATTTTTTCTATCGAATGAGTACAAGAAACCACCCATTTGTCGATTTCAACTATCCAATAAAGTGGTCAGAATTTAGCAATTTTGCCAATTTCACACAAATTTCAAAAGATGCCAATTTCCAAATAGGGTCCAGAATAAACAAGAAAGGCATTCCTGGCACTAAGATTGCATTTCCTTTGTTTATTAGTCACATCCCCACGCCCCTCTTACATTTCTTTTGCTTTCCATTTTGAATTTTTATTCTCACAAAAAATAGAAGATTTACTGTTATGCAGGCTACTGTATTAGTGTAGAAATGGTATAAATAATATCAGCACACTTGTGAAAGTATATTAGACTCACCAGTTGATGTGTATTGGACGCGTGGCATGATTTGTTTACTTTTGAACTTTGGCAAAAACCGAACATTTCTACTACTTTGAGCTCAATTTCAAGGTACTTTTCATTGTGAAACTAATCAAAATCGTTTCAATTTCTGTAATATGTCTTTCATTCTATAAAATAAGATCAGGAAAACTAGAATACAACCATAAATACCATACAAAAATACACTGCTGTTTTAAACCAAAAACACGGTCAAAGTTTTTTTTCTCATTACGCACTGTGTGCTGCAGGATTTTTTTTATACTGCGCACACTGACCACAGAGCCCCATTCTTTCATATGTAGGCCTACCAGCTTTCTCTTGCTAGATTTGAGGGCGCTAGAATTTATGCGTACTAGCACGTCAAAAACCCTGGTGCGTAAGCCATACGAGTACGTCGGAAACCCTGAAAGGGTCAACACTGACAGCATTGTATGTGAGGGGCTTCTCAAATCTTTTAGGAATCGGAGTGATCCCGTCTGACGTGAAGGCTCCATCAGGCATCTTCACGTCAGGTCAGAATGATTTTTATCAAAATCGCTGCTTCAGAAGTGGGATGTACAGAGGCAGTATGTGTATATTGGTGGAAAGATGTAAGCTCCTCTGTAAGGTTCGAGAGAATTGAATATCTATTGAATATTGCTGCATAACCTGTCTCTGGTACTACATGAGGGGTTGGAGCCCAATGGAGTTGAAGGCTTGTAGTTCTACACTAGGTAATTAACTGGAGCAGGATGTATATATTTGCTGTTCGTTAATCAATGTGAGAGGCTTTCTTATATACTGGACAAGTTCTTGAAGTTAGTTTGTGAGCTCCATTATGAAAATAACAGGATTGGTGCTTAGCACCTGCAGGTCCCTCTATTTGACATGGGTGAAAGAAACTACAACTTGTACAGAGTACCTTGTCACAGCATGACAACTGAGCATTCCCATACTGAAAATAGCTACAGCCCCTAAGAACTGACAGGATGTAAGAAAACACTCGGCATATAGTGTGACCATGAGCTACACGGGAACTGTCGTAGTGCAGGAGCATCAGACTAGTGTTCACTGCTCGACTGTGAAGGCTAGAAACCTCATCATGGTTTGAATCACAGTACTGCTATAGAAGAAATCCTTCACAACGTCCAAATCAGAATATTCAGAAGAGAGTTTGGCACTTTTACCATACATTTGGGATGGGTTGCTCCACTGGTCCCGTCCTGCCTCGTAGATTATCTGCCAGTTTTCCAGGCGTGTATTGTTGTTTACAGAGCTCTGTGCTGACTGACTTGCGAATTCCAGCTCCACGACCAAAAAGAGTGACTCCCCCATCAAGGCAGCAATCTTAGGAAAATGCTGCCTTGAAGTCTTCCAGAAGTTCCCTGGGGTAAGTAAAGACAAGATCCGTCCACCATGAGGATAAGTATGGCAGTGTTTTCTGAGGTAGATGACACTGAGAGGAGTCGTCTGGTGAGGATGTTTTTTAAGTCCATGTTTTTTTCCGTGACTTTTTTAATCAATAAACCTGAGACTGCTGTTGGTTAGCCATGGGCTATTTAGTCTCTTCGTTGTGATTCTGTTATATGTTCAGGGGCAGTGCTTAGTGTAGAGGCTTAGCATTTTTTTTTATGTAGGAATGTCTGGACACTTGAATTAGTGTTTTGATCATTATTAAATTCTGTCTCTCTGTCAGTCGACGCTCGTGCTTGCTGCAGTGAAGATATTCACTGGTGCCATCTGACATTCAAACTATTATTATGTTCCTTGTATGATAGGAGGGTAGTACCTCCCTGTACGGATGCTGTCTACTAGCCTACTGTAATAATTAACGCTGCTCTGGTCTATTGCAGGTGTTCTTCTTCATGTTGACATGCAGATTGATCGTGGAATACCAGATACGCAGGAAGGAGAGGATGGACAAATTGGGCATCAAGAAACCTAGCGGTACTGAGACTAAAGACACAACAAGTGCGACAACTTCTACTCCCGCTGCCCAACACAACAACATCAAGAAACATCTCTAGTTTCTTCACATTGACTTAAACATTAATACAAGCTGCTTAAAACTAAAGTTAGTCTTTTCTACAAATTTTTAGAAACAAGACACTTTATAAAAGACAAAATCCAGATGATGGAATTGGATTTCATGGACAATTTTGCCTCGTGTATTTCGAAAATAATAAATTTTTAATATATCTTAGAAACGAAGCCTTTATAAAAAAATATATATAAAAGTTTATGTGAATACAATTAATGACCATTATACAAAATATGCTGAAAAAAATATGGAGCTAATCACATCTGTAAATATAATTATCTAAGTAGACATAATACAAGTGTATATAGTAATTTGTTTTGGTGTGTGGGCCCATGAGTGTGCTCAATCAGTGAAAGTATTACCAAGAACCAGCTTCACAGTACCAAAGATTACCTCGTCTCATTGCCAAGACATGTTTATATTAGTGCAGAAGAAAAATCAGTTTTGAAATAATTCATAACATCCATAATTAATATTTCTTACATTTGATGACAGTATTTTATATATAACTTACCGTGGGTGGCTGAGGATGTATGCAAATCAGTTGTTAATTAGTTAAGTTAGAAACTATTTAGAACTGTTTATCATGAAATGATAATGAACAGAAGGTTAAATAGCGCGAAGAAACTCGCCGCTATGATGACACAACACCTGACTACATGAGTGACTAGCAACACATACACACACACGGGGCCAGGAGCTGAGACTCGACCCCTGCAACCACAACTACGTGAGTAGATGAGTACACACACATATAGGAGCCAGGGATCATGTGGTACTGAGCATTAAGTACTTGTTGGAAGAGGGAATGGAGAAAGCAAGTAACAGAAAATGGGACTACAGAAGAGAGGACTACGATGTCATTAGAATTTTTTGAGAGAAGAGTACTGGGACAGGGAACTGGAAGGCAGACCTGCACAAGAAATGATGAAGGTAATAGAGCCAAAGTGCCCAGAGGCAAAGATGAGATTTATATCAAGCATGAAGAAAGAAAATAGGAAAAACAGAGAGCCAAAGCATATAGAGAGACCAAAGGGAGGAACAAGAGGCCTTGGAAAAAATAGAACAAACCTCAGAATAGCATTCAGGAATTTGAATAAAGAATATTCAATTTCTCTAGCACGTGAAGAAACAGGAAAAGGTCCAGAGGTTTTCAACCAGACGGTTAGTACCAGAGCTGAGGAATGCACTTTGAGGAAAGGTTGGAAGAGCTGAATTTGACGACCTTAGAGGAGAGGACAAGGGGTTACAATACTACGTACAAAATCTTAAAAAGAACTGATAGGCTGATAGGGACAGATTGTTTGAATTAAGCGGACCAGGATCAAGGGGACACAGGTGGAAGCTGAAGATGCAGATGAATCATTCACATGGATGTATTTCTTTAGTTTCAGGATGGTTGAAAAGTGGAATGATTTGGATGAGGTAGCAGCGGAAGCAAACTCAACACCGGTTTGAGAGTAGATATGTTAAGGCCGTAAGAGGCCAGGAGATAAGTATCGACCCCGGCAAACACAAATAAGTGAATACACACACACACACGCAGCATGGAATTCTCTCTGCCAGGTTAACAACAGTACAAGACTGGTCCCGGAATAGTAAGCGCTGGTACACCAAGACAGGTTAATTCCTGCATTACTAAAAAACACTTACACCCAGAGGAGATCATAAAAATTTATAAAATGTTCGGAGACAGATAAAGTTGAAAGAGAAAGCCTTTTTTTCTAGATGGGAGGAAAGAGACCAAGGAAACAATTGGAACTTGGAACTTCAAATATTCGTAGGAGCATACGAAGGAATTCCTTCAGTGTGAAGTATTGACCAATTGAAATGTAATTAAAAAGGTGTTTGTTGGAGGATAACTCAGTTCATGGATGAAACAAATATAACGGAAAAAGCAGGTAGAAAACGTGCAAAATCGGAGCTCAAGAGCTAGTGCTCAACCCACACAGACATAGATGAATACACATGTTGCTTAGGAAATTCACCTTGAGGAGAAAACCAGAGAGACAGAGACAGAGGGACAGACGAACAGAGAGACAGACAGACAAAGTTGTTGTAGCCATCTCCTATCTATTTGATGAGTATGGGACGACTACCGATCGCAGGATGGGTATGGGATGAGTACCGATCGCAGGATGGGTATGGGATGAGTGCCGATCGCAGGATGGGTATGGGATGAGTAATGATAGGATGGGTATGGATGCCTCAGAGAAAGACATGGTTGACGTAACTTGTGGTTGAACTATGACTGTCAACAAGCAAGTAATGGGAAAAAATCATGTAAGCAAAAGGAGAACTTTTATTGATATATTTTTCAAGAGACTCGTAGATAAAATGTTGTGTTAATAAAAGTCTCCTTTTACTAAATCTGTTTCGTTCCAACTCAACGAGAGACTTAATGAGCCAACATGGACTTGATTCACTGCTTATCAACGTGAGTCCCAGTTACATACCTGCTGTCTCCATACTTACCAACACTGTCTTGTTATAGTGTTGGTACTTCACAATAGTGTTGACACTGCGCTACCATCTTTCACTGTAGTTTAAAAGCACCAATATTCTGCGGAGTCAGTCACTCTCTCTCTCTCTCTCTCTCTCTCTCTCTCTCTCTCTCTCTCTCTCTCTCTCTCTCTCTCTCTCTCTGTGTGTGTGTGTGTGTGTGTGTGTGTGTGTGTAATACTCTGACATAATACAATTATTAATACTGAAGTGAAAGCTGTAATCAAATAATACTGGAATTGTACATATTTAATAACGTTCCTCCCTGACCTATACCACTGAGGTTACTTACCAAGTGTCGTACGCCTGGTGCAGACTGGCTTGAGTACCCGGCCTGGTGGTAACTTACCATGTTGTCCGTGTCACTGGCTGGTGTACACCGGGCCTGGTGGTACTTTAATTACCAAGTGTCGTGTCAACTGGCTGAGTACCCGGCCTGGTGGTAACTTACCAAGTGTTGTGTCAACTGGCTGAGTACCCGGCCTGGTGGTAAGTTACCAAGTGTTGTGTCAACTGGCTGAGTACCCGGCCTGGTGGTAACTTACCAAGTGTTGTGTCAACTGGCTGAGTACCCGGCCTGGTGGTAAGTTACCAAGTGTCGTGTCAGCTGCCTGAGTACCCGGCCTGGTGGTAACTTACCAAGTGTTGTGTCAACTGGCTGAGTACCTGGCCTGGTGGTAAGTTACCAAGTGTTCGTGTCAGCTGCCTGAGTACCCGGCCTGGTGGTAACTTACCAAGTGTTGTGTCAACTGGCTGAGTACCTGGCCTGGTGGTAACTTACCAAGTGTTGCGTCAACTGGACGAGTACCCGGCCTGGTGGTAAGTTAAAAGTGTCTTGTCAGCTGGCTGAGTACCCGACGTGGTGGTAAGTTACCAAGTGCTGTGTCAGCTGGCTGAGTACCTGGCCTGGTGGTAACTTACCAAGTGTCGTGTCAACTGGCTGAGTACCCGGCCCAGTGGTAAGTTACCAAGTGTCGTGTCAACTGGCTGGGTACCCGGCCTAGTGGTTAGTTACCAAGTGTCGTGTCAGCTGGCTGAGTACCCAGCCTGGTGGTAAGTTACCAAGTGTCGTGTCAACTGGCTGGGTACCCGGCCTAGTGGTAAGTTACCAAGTGTCGTGTCAGCTGGCTGAGTACCCGGCCTGGTGATAAGTTACCAAGTGTCGTGTCAACTGGCTGGGTACCCGGCCTAGTGGTAAGTTACCAAGTGTCGTGTCAGCTGGCTGAGTACCCGGCCTGGTGATAAGTTACCAAGTGTCGTGTCAACTGGCTGGGTACCCGGCATGTGGTAAGTTACCAAGTGTCGTGTCAGCTGGCTGAGTACCCAGCCTGGTGGTAAGTTACCAAGTGTCGTGTCAGCTGGCTGAGTACCCGGCCTGGTGGTAAGTTACCAAGTGTCGTGTCAACTGGCTGAGTACCCGGCCTGGTGGTAAGTTACCAAGTGTTGTGTCAGCTGGCTGAGTACCCGGCCTGGTGGTAAGTTACCAAGTGTTATGTCAACTGGACGAGTACCCGGCCTGGTGGTAAGCTACGAAGTGTTTACCTGGAGTTTACCTGGAGAGAGTTCCGGGGGTCAACGCCCCCGCGGCCCGGTCTGTGTAAGTTACCGGGTAAGTTACCAAGTGTCGTGTCAACTGGCTGAGTACCCGGCCTGGTGGTAAGTTACCAAGTGTTGTGTCAGCTGGCTGAGTACCCGGCCTGGTGGTAAGTTACCAAGTGTCGTGTCAACTGGCTGAGTATCCGGCCTGGTGGTAAGTTACCAAGTGTTGTGTCAACTGGCTGAGTACCCGGCCTGGTGGTAACTTACCAAGTGTCGTGTCAGCTGGCTGAGTACCCGACGTGGTGGTAAGTTACCAAGTGTTGTGTCAGCTGGCTGAGTACCCGGCCTGGTGGCAAGTTACCAAGTGTTGTGTCAACTGGCTGAGTACCCGGCCTGGTGGCAAGTTACCAAGTGTTGTGTCAACTGGCTGAGTACCCGGCCTGGTGGCAAGTTACCAAGTGTTGCGTCAACTGGCTGAGTGCCCGGCCTGGTGGCAACTTACCAAGTGTTGTGTCAACTGGCTGAGTACCCGGCCTGGTGGTAAGTTACCAAGTGTCGTGTCAGCTGGCTGAGTCCCCGACCTGGTGGTAAGTTACCAAGTGTCGTGTCAACTGGCTGGGTACCCGGCCTAGTGGTAAGTTACCAAGTGTCGTGTCAGCTGGCTGAGTACCCAGCCTGGTGGTAAGTTACCAAGTGTCGTGTCAGCTGGCTGAGTACCCGGCCTGGTGGTAACTTACCAAGTGTCGTGTCAGCTGGCTGAGTACCCGGCCTGGTGGTAAGTTACCAAGTGTCGTGTCAACTGGCTGAGTACCCGGCCTGGTGGTAAGTTACCAAGTGTTGTGTCAGCTGGCTGAGTACCCGGCCTGGTGGTAAGTTACCAAGTGTTGTGTCAACTGGCTGAGTACCCGGCCTGGTGGTAAGTTACCAAGTGTTGTGTCAACTGGACGAGTACCCGGCCTGGTGGTAAGCTACGAAGTGTTTACCTGGAGTTTACCTGGAGAGAGTTCCGGGGGTCAACGCCCCCGCGGCCCGGTCTGTGTAAGTTACCGGGTAAGTTACCAAGTGTCGTGTCAACTGGCTGAGTACCCGGCCTGGTGGTAAGTTACCAAGTGTTGTGTCAGCTGGCTGAGTACCCGGCCTGGTGGTAAGTTACCAAGTGTCGTGTCAACTGGCTGAGTATCCGGCCTGGTGGTAAGTTACCAAGTGTTGTGTCAACTGGCTGAGTACCCGGCCTGGTGGTAACTTACCAAGTGTCGTGTCAGCTGGCTGAGTACCCGATGTGGTGGTAAGTTACCAAGTGTTGTGTCAGCTGGCTGAGTACCCGGCCTGGTGGCAAGTTACCAAGTGTTGTGTCAACTGGCTGAGTACCCGGCCTGGTGGCAAGTTACCAAGTGTTGCGTCAACTGGCTGAGTGCCCGGCCTGGTGGTAACTTACCAAGTGTTGTGTCAACTTGCTGAGTACCCGGCCTGGTGGTAAGTTACCAAGTGTCGTGTCAGCTGGCTGAGTCCCCGACCTGGTGGTAAGTTACCAAGTGTTGTGTCAACTGGCTGAGTACCCGGCTTGGTGGTAAGTTACCAAGTGTTGTGTCAGTTGGCTGAGTACCCGGCCTGGTGGTAAGTTACCAAGTGTCGTGTCAACTGGCTGAGTATCCGGCCTGGTGGTAAGTTACCAAGTTTTGCGTCAACTGGACGAGTACCCGGCCTGGTGGTAAGTTACCAAGTGTTGTACCATCTGGCTGAGTACCCGACCTGGTGGTAAGTTACCAAGTGTTGTGTCAACTGGCTCAGTACCCGGCCTGGTGGTAAGTTACCAAGTGTTGTGTCAGCTGGCTGAGTACCCGGCCTGGTGGTAAGTTACCAAGTGTTGTGTCAACTGGCTGAGTACCCGACCTGGTGGTAAGTTACCAAGTGTTGTGTCAGCTGGCTGAGTACCCGACCTGGTGGTAAGTTACCAAGTGTTGTGTCAACTGGCTGAGTACCCGGCCTGGTGGTAAGTTACCAAGTGTTGTGTCAACTGGCTGAGTACCCGGCCTGGTGGTAAGTTACCAAGTGTTGTGTCAGCTGGCTGAGTACCCGGCCTGGTGGTAAGTTACCAAGTGTTGTGTCAACTGGCTGAGTACCCGGCCTGGTGGTAAGTTACCAAGTGTTGTGTCAACTGGCTGAGTACCCGGCCTGGTGGTAAGTTACCAAGTGTTGTGTCAACTTGCTGAGTACCCGGCCTGGTGGTAAGTTACCAAGTGTTGTGTCAACTTGCTGAGTACCCGGCCTGGTGGTAAGTTACCAAGTGTTGTGTCAACTTGCTGAGTACCCGGCCTGGTGGTAAGTTACCAAGTGTTGTGTCAACTTGCTGAGTACCCGGCCTGGTGGTAAGGGATTCATTTACCTCTCACTCATAATTACTCATCAGAATTTTTCCTTAATGATAGTTGTCAAGTTTATTTATTAGCGGTTCTTTTGCAATTTTCACTTTTTTGATGAGAAATATGTACTTGTTCACTTGAACATAAAATTTCCGTGCCTCAAATGCATTCACAAATTTTTGATGTATTACGTGTGTGGTGTCGATTACATGGATAGTTTGTCATTGATGTATGACTGACCAAAGGATATTGATGCTTGTGTATGAATATTATCTGTTGAAGCTGTATCTCCGGCGAAGTATGTGTGGTGAGGATGTTCTTCTATAATCACACTTTGTATGGCATTACTGAGATGCACAGTAGCAGGTACTGGCTAAACATACTTCTTGCTCTTATGTTTATCTTATTGTACTCTGCTTCTGTGCTTCCAAATTTAGGGTATATAACATTTTCATTTATATATATAATATATATATATATAATATATAATATATATAATATATATATATATATATATATTATATGTATATTATATTTAATATATAATATATATATAGAATATATATATATATATATATATATATATATATATATATATATATTATATATTTCATCCTTGAAGCCTTTTTATCCCTATATATATATATATATATATATATATATATAATTTTATTATATATATATATATATATATATATATATATATATTATATATATATAATATATGTAATAATATTTTTAGCAGAGATGACAACAGTGATATCTCTGGTGGTCAGTGATTGACCGATCACTGCTGGAGTCCATGGTAGTTACGGCTGGGACCCCTTCTGTGGTCATTATTGTGGTCCATGGTGATCACTGCTGGGACCCCTTTGGTGGTCATTGGGGTCCATCATGGTCACCGCTGGGGTCCATGGTGGTCACCGCTGGGGTCCATGGTGTTCATTGCTGGGTTCCATGGTGGTTGCTGTTGGAGTCCATAGTGGTCGCTGCTGGGGCCCTTGGTGGTCGCCACTGGGCCCTTGGTCACTGGTGGGGTCCATAGTGGTCGTTTCTGGGGCCATTGGTGGTCACTGCTTGGGTCCATGGTGGTCATTGCTGGTGTCCATGGGTGGCACTGCTGGGGTCCATGGTGGTCATTGCTGAGGGTCCATGGTGGTCGTTTCTGGGGCCTTTGGCGGTTACTGCTGGGGTCCATAGTGGTCACTGTTGGGACCCTTGGTGGGCGCTTGTGGGGCCCTTGATGGTCGCTGCTGGGGACCTTCGTGGTCGTTGCTGGGGCCCTTGGTGGTCGCTGCTGGGGCCCTTGGTGGTCGCTGCTGGGGTCCTTGGTGGTCGCTGCTGGGGTCCTTGGTGGTCACCGCTAGTACATGTCTGGATCCATACTGTGATCCCGG